GATTGAAGAAAACATGGCGACGACGCCGACGACGGCCTCCTCTTCCGAGGCCCCCGGCAGCTTTCAGCTGCCATGGCAGGCAATCCCCAAGTTTATCCCTGGAACGACAGATGTAACAGAGTACAGTCGGAAGCTTCAGTTTTTGGCGGCTATGTGGCCGAAGGAGCATCTTTCCTTACTGGCGCCCAGGGCGGCGTTGATGTGTGAGGGAACTTCGTTCAAGAAGGTGGCATCTCTTGATGCCAGCAAGCTCAAGGCCAATGATGAATCGGGAGTTAAGCTTTTGGTTTCAACATTGGGAGGCTCCTGGGGCAAGACAGCACTTGAGGAGAAGTATGATTGCTTCGAGAAGGCCATTTACGGCACCATCCAGAAGGCTGACGAGACCAACGACAGCTACGTGGCCCGGCATGATGTGCACTTTGAGGAGTTGTTAGCTGGGGGAGTGACCCTCAAGGAGGTTCGAGCGTACATTCTTTTGCGACAGTCGCAACTGACGGCCGATGATCGGAAGCGGATTGTTGTAGAGATGAATGGCGCATTGGATTATCAGAAGGTTTGCTCAGCAATACGGCTCCTGGGTTCTCGGTTTTTCACTGACTTGCAGGGTCAACGCAGTGGTAAGACTAAGACCTATGATGCCAACTATGTCGATGAAGGCGCCAATGAGGAGCCCGAGCGAGCTCTACAGGTTTCCGCACCCATCGCCAGCGAGGATGGCGATGGCGACTTGGACAATGAGTTCATGGAAGCGCTGATCGCCGCGGAGGACCATGACGCCATGCAGGTTCAGGCCTTTGAGGAGGAGTTGGAGGGCTTCTTTCAGGAGACTCCAGATCTTCAGGAGGCCCTGGTGAGCTATCTGGAGGCAAGAGGCCGCCTCCTCGCGAAGAAGCGCTCGCGTGGGTTTTGGCCTGTGGCTTCCAGTGGCAAAGGGTCCAAGGGCGGTCGTGGCTTTAAGGGCGGAAAAGGAAAGGGCAAGAATGCCCGAGAGCAGCTCCTTGCCAGGATCAGCCGGAGTCACTGCAGAGCTTGCGGTGAGAAAGGACACTGGAAAGCTGAGTGTCCGAAGGTCGGAAAGTCCGGTGCCAAAGGCGAGACCGCCACGACGACCGTGGCTGAGGTGGATGAGTCCACCTACACGATGATCGAGACTGCGGAGAACTCCATCGCCGAGATCAGTACCAGCCTCCCCGAGGGAACTTTGTCCCTGGACGAGGCCCACCTAGCAGTAAGCGAGCATAGACAGGATCAGATCAAGCACCGACTTAGACAAGTGGTAGAGAACATGCGTGCCTTTCACCAAGCTCCCAACCCTAATTGTGCCAGGCAGCCAAGCAGTGGGGAAGCCTCCTCGACTGACGGTTGTGTCACTGGGATAGTTCGAAGCTTTAGAAAGCCACCCTCTCAGGTTTCTCCTGAGACTGCAGCGGCCCTTCTCAGTCAAGGCCCCATAGAAGCCATTTTGGATACGGGGGCTAGCCGCTGTGTAATGGGCAAGAGCCTAGTGTCTGGATTCCTTAGCCAGCTGGAGTCTTCTGTGCGGGAGAAGGTTAGGGTTGCTAAGAGTGAGGTTCGGTTTAGATTCGGAAACAATCAAACCCTCCTTAGTCAGCAAAGAATCCTTCTGCCCTTCAGGACCGCTCAAGATCAGATTTTGTGGCTGGGAATCGAAGTTGTGCCAGGTGGAACGCCTCTGTTGTTCAGTAAGAAAGCCCTCAAACAACTACATGCCGTGATAGATACCCGTACTGATCAATGCCACCTGCACCGCTTACAGACGAGTTTAAGCCTGAAGACAGGGCCCACCGGACTATACATGGTCGATCTTGCCCGCTTGTGTGTGGAAAGTGACAAAGAGCACCATTGCCAGACTGTGACCGAAGAGCTGGTTGTTACTGAACCGCACACAGCCCCTCTCCTGCATGCCAATCAGTGCCATGAGTTAGAAGCTTCTGCAACCAGTTGTATAGGGGGTTGCCGAGGGTTCTCTAGGAAGTCAGGTTCTGAGAATTCATGTTTTAGGAAATCTCCGGAATAGGTCGGGGTTAGATACTGAGCCTGCGCTTGAGCCGAAGGTGTCTCTTGCGCAAACACACCAGTCGCCAGAAGGCCAATCTGTGCATAACGAGGAAATCCCAGCAGCTACTGAGCCCAAGCGCACCCATCCTGCATTCCCGCCTTGCGTTGCACCTTCGTTGCCTCCCCATGTTCGTGTCGAAGGGTTCCCTCACTTTGGGAGCTCGGTACGCTCAGCTGAACGACCCTCAGCTGCATCTCAGCCTGGACGAGATGGAGGCAATGAGCCTCGAGCAACTAGGCGAACTGAAGATCGATTTCGGGCGCACCATGTCCGGCCGGACATACATGGACGTAGCAATCAACGAGCAGGCATGGAGCAAATGGATCATAGAGCATATGGCCAAGAGCACCAAAAAGGAGCATCAGGCCTTTCTGCGTTTCATGGAGCGCTATGTGGAGGAAGCCGAAGGGGTCGAAGCCTCTTTGCTGGATGCTCTCGAGGCTTCCGAGCCAGGGAGAGCCGCAGCCCGTCCCAAGATCGCTGCCAAAAAGGGAACTGCGTCCCGAGCAGCCGCGTCGTCGGACACGGGACCCGAGACCTGGGATCTTGTGAACGACCGAGAGCGCGATTCGGCCCTCGACCATCAGGTCACAGTTCTCTCCACCCGAGTGAACCAGATGGAGAGCGTGATGCAGCAAGTCCTGGTTGCCATCCAGGAGCTCAATGTGGCCACTCGCCAGACCTGAGCGAGGTCAAAGCCTGCCAGCACGAGTTATCCCAAGTCTTAGCAGCGCAGACCCTAGATATCTCTAAGATTGAGGATACTGCTAAGAAGCTTGTTCAAGAAAGTGCTGTGGTGGGGGACTTAAAGAAGTTTCTTCGGGGTATTCCATGGGAGCTACTAAAATCTAAATCCGAAGGATCTCGATTCAGGTCAGAACTCCACGAGCAGGAGAAAATGAAGCCATCAGTGTACTTAGTCTTCGGAATGTTTGTCCATGGTGGTCAAGTGGGATTAACACGTATATCCAGAGAGATGCCTTGGCTTACCAAAGTGTTGACTCGCGTTGTCGGACTGACTGATTCTCAGCACCCCAGTACTTCAATTACCGTGTCCCGAAATGTTCTCTCTCAGCCTCATCGAGATAGTTATAACGATCTTCAGGTTCATAATTTAGTCGTGCCATTTGAGCAACCGCGTGCTGGCGGAGAGATTTGGGTCGCTCAGCCTCCAAAGTCCAGCCAGAAACGGCACACTATGATGTGCGGCAACCAGGAGCTTGAAGGTTCCCTTCTCTCCCTAAGAAACCCAGTGTACATCAATCCACATGTCTGGCATGCCACCATGCCTTGGGAAGGGAACCGAGCAGTGCTGATCAGTTATGCCTTGAAGCCTGTCTGGAAGCTGGAGGCTTCCGATGTTGTTTGGCTGCGTCAGCATGGGTTTGTGCCGCCCAAGTCAGAACCTCCAGATCCCCAATCCGTATCCCTGGCTCTGACTCCCGAATCCGATGGAGCTTCTGAGTCCAGCCTTCGTCTTGAATTGAAAGCCGCGCAGCATCTGTTACAGGGTTCTGCCATCACAAACCTGGCTTCCGATGTTGATGCTGCCAGCAGAACGGCTTTTTGCAAAGCTGAAGAAGCATCCTGGAACGTGTTCCAGGATTCCTTGTTGACATACGGCCATGCCGTGGAAGCGCAGCTTGATGTTTTAGAGGTTTATGCGAATGCCGATAGTCGCTTGACTAGCTGGGTGAATCGTTGTGGGGGTAATGCCCGAAGGTTCACTAGTTTAGATGGCGATCTGTCAACAGCCTCTGGCCAGCGCGCTCTTTGGGATCTTCTGCAAAAGACCCAGCCTCGCCATGTGTGGTGCATTCCCGACTGCAAACACTGGGGTTCCTGGTCACGACTCAATGCCGCCAGAAGCGTAAGCTATCGTGATCACTTGTTGGAAAGACAAAGACAGGACCAGGTACATTGGCAATTGTGTACTAAGATTTGCATGTGGCAGAAGTCGCAGGGTCGCGAGTTTCATCTAGAATTGCCATCCGGAACCAGTATCCTTGCATCTCAAGAAATAGAAGCAATCCTGCAAGCCACCCAGAAAATTCATGTAGACATGTGTGCTTTTGGTTTGCGGACCCCAGTAAGTCATCGACCAATTAAGAAGCCCACCACCCTTCTGAGTACATCACCAGGGTTGCTTAGAAGCTTAGTTCAAAAGCAGTGCCAAGGGAAGCATGTGCACCAGACCATTGCCGGTCGTCTACGTGAGCTCAGTGGCACTTCCGTGTCTCAGTTCGCAGGGTCCTACTGCGATGGCTTTGCTGAGCATGTCGCCCGACAGTTAGTCCAAACTCCCGGGACTGCATTGGCTGCAGATGGTTCTAGTCCCCTTACCCGTAAGCGGTTTAAGACCTCCACTGGTTCCTCAGTTCCCAACATTACTCTAGGACCCCAGAAGCGCGAAGGCTCCAATTCCCCAGAAGGCGACATGCGCGGTAGTCCGCAGCGGCGCTTTGAGCTGTCGACCGCCAATCCCGTGCATGACACAGTCGAGTTGCCTGGTGAAGAGTGGGTTCCACTTTTCGAAACCGCCTCAACCTGCGGAGGACGGCCTGCAGCTTCCCTTGTAACCCCGCATCACCCGTTGATTCCTCTCCTGCAGAATAAGCTTTCCCATCTTGATGTTCTTCAAATGTCCGTAGGAAAGGGATCTCGTAACCTTCAAAGTCCCCTGGGTGCACTCCCTGTGACTGTAGCCCCGTGGAGAGTAAGCCTTGGAAGTAGACATTTTTGTCTAGGCAATGAGGATCGCACTACGATGCGCCCTGAGCGCAAGAAGTTACGAGTTGAAGCACTCGAGACTGCCATCACGGTGTTAGGCAAACCCAAGCATTTCGACGTATCTGCAGCTAGTCAACCTGTCCTCAGTAACACCCCAGCAGCCTCTGAGCCTGCAGATCCCGGAAAGCCTAACATCGAAGGATGGGGACCTCCGCCGATTCCCCTGCACGGACCTGCGTTCCGGAACTTAGATGCTGAGTCCAAGAGTCGTCTTGTGAGAATACATAATAATCTCGGTCATCCTGCACCCCTGAAGTTGTCACAGCACCTAAAGGCCGCCGGAGAAGACCCGAAGATGGTACAAGCTGCTCTCGAGTTTCAATGTGACGCATGTCTTGAGTCGACAGAGCCCCGTCACCAACGCCCGAGCAAACTTCCCGAGCCTAAGGAGTTCAATGAGTTAGTGGGGGTAGATGGGTTTCTGTTTAAAAGCCGCTCAGGATATTCTGCCCATGTTATCCACGTCCTTGATGAAGCAAGCTGCTTCCACCTAGGTCGTCGTATCCTATCTAGACATGCCTCACAGGCCATGAAAGCTGTTTCGGAGTTCTGGATGTCATGGGCAGGGCAGCCGCACAAGTTCTACTTAGATCCGGCTGGAGAGTTTCGATCCGAAGAAATGTTGGAAAAGTTTCAGAGCATGAATTCCAAGGTCTTCATAAGTACCGCTGCTTGGCAGCGAGGTCGTGTTGAACGGCACGGTGATATCGCCAAGGATATGCTAGCGCGGATAGATACCCAGCAACCCATAGTCAGTGATACCTCTTTTGACCAAGCTCTTCTTGTAGCCTTTCAAGCGAAAAACGCATTGGTCCGCCATCGTGGGTACTCACCAGAACAGATTGTGCTGGGCAAATCAGTCCGGATTCCTGGAAGCCTCACTTCCGATGAAGACCTGGCATCCCATGCCATCACCGAAGGCTCTGATCTTGAAGCTGAGCAACACCGTCACCGCCTTGAACTTAGGTGCCAAGCACGGAAAGCCTTTTGGGAAGCCGATAATAGCCAAACCATCCGCAGGGCCATGTTAAGGAGAAGTAACCCCATCAGAGGACCCTTTAGGCCCGGCGATTGGGTTTTGTACTGGCTTCGCAAAAATTCGCCTAACCGTTTGGCGTCGGGACGCTGGCATGGCCCAGCCAAAGTGATTTGCCAGGAAGGACAATCCATTGTTTGGATTTCACATGGCACCACGGTGTTGCGATGCGCCCCTGAGAATTTGCGGCCCGCCAGCTTGAGGGAATGGCAGCAGTTGACTCCGGATGATCTTGAAGGGATAAGGTCTAATGTAGGCGGTTCAAGTTCTTTCGTAGACTTGTCAGCTCCAAGCGCTCCCGTAACTGAGAATCCACCGTCATCTGCCGAGCTCCCTCCGATGGAGATTGGAACCCCGGGAGTTCCACCAATGCCTGCTGCCCCGCCAGCTGCAAATCCTGAGGATAATCTAGAACAACCCGAACATGAACTTACCCCGCAAGTGTCCCTTGGCCATGAAGGCGTTGGAGAGCTGTCTGAAGTTGAGCGCAATCCCAGCCTAACAGCTGGATCTGCTGCCCCTTCGCAAGTTCCTGCGCCCACCTCGGTTGATCCTTCCGGTGTACTGCCATCCGAGCCTGAGCCCTTAAATGGAATGGATATCCCTATTCCCGAATCGGATGAAGGTCTCATGACTGAGTGTATCAATTTGGCAAGCACACCGGTGGGGGAAATCGCTGGTGAAGCGGATGAGCTTTTCAGCTTCTTGACACTCCAGGCAAGCAAAGAATCCACCTGCCCTCCAGTAGCTGAAGACAACCTTCCCTTTGTTGTAGACCCTCTGGTCTGCAACAGTGAGCAAGCCTACTGTCTTGAGATTCCCGTCAGCGCCAAAACCCTGAAGCAATGGGCACGTGAAAAGTCCCCAGAGCAGATGTCTGCTCTTGCTGCTGTAAGCAAACGAGCCCGATCAGAAGTCTATGTCAAGGATCTATCCTCTGCCGAACGTGCTCTCTTTGAAACCGCCAAAGCCAAAGAAATTGGCTGTTGGCTACAAACCTCAGCCATCCGTCCAGTCCTTAGGCGTGAACTCAATCCTGAGCAAATCCTGCGCAGCAGATGGATCCTCACCTGGAAGGCCCCCGAGCCTGGAGAGGAGCAGCGTCGTGCTAAGGCTAGATTAGTCGTACTAGGGTTTCAAGATCCCAAGTTGGTTGATGTGTTGCGCGACGCTCCCACCTTATCCAAGGAGGGGAGGGCTCTGGTGCTTCAAACCATCGCCTCATCCAGTTTCCCTTAAGCTCTTTTGATATTAAGACAGCTTTCCTCAGAGGTAAGGCCGTTGAAAGTAATCCCTTGGCGATGGAGCCCCCACCCGAGGTTCGGAAAGCCTTAAACCTCAAGGATGACCAAGTTTGCGAGCTGTTGGGAAACGCGTATGGTAGAGTAGACGCCCCGCTGCTGTTTTACAAGGAGTTGAGCAAGCAGCTACTCCAGCTGGGATTCACCAGGCATCCTCTTGAGCCCTGCGTGTTTATGCTGTACACCGGTCAAAAGCTAAACGGGATCCTCGGGGTTCACGTCGATGACGGTGTGTGCGGAGGGGATGCCAAGTTTTCTCAGAAAATTCAGGAGCTGGAGAAGAAGCTGCCGTTCGGGAGCCGTAAGTATCGCAGCTTTGTCTTCACGGGGATCCACCTTGAACAATTTCCCGATTTTTCTATTCGAGCCGCCCAGAGCGATTACGTGCGCAACATTCCTCAGATAGACATCGGTAGAACGCGCCGCCAGGCGCCGGAAGCCCCTGTTTCTGAAAATGAGCGTACTAAGCTTAGGGGTCTAATCGGAAGCCTCCAATACGCAGTCACACACACGCGTCCGGACATGGCAGCCAAGCTTGGAGAGCTCCAGTGTCAAACGACGTCGGCAACCGTCCAGACGTTGTTGACGGCAAACAAGGTTCTCCGAGAAACCCAGGAGCAAGCTCAGGTGTGTTTGTACTACTTACCTATAGCTACCAAAGAGCTCACCTTTGTTTCGTTTGGTGACGCTTCCTTTGCATCATCCCGGAACCTGAATTCCCACCAGGGTGCCCTAGTATGTGCCACCGACAGCCGCTTAGATAAGAACCTTGAGGCCCCGCTTTCTCCCCTGACCTGGACCTCTAAGAAAATCCCTCGGGTTGTTAGGTCAACCTTGTCAGCGGAAGCTTATGCGATGTCCAAGGCAGTGGACATGTTGGGATGGATGCGAGCCTTATGGGGTGTAGTCCATGAGCCTAACTTCAGTTGGCAGAGTCCTGAAAAGGGGTATCAAAGCTTGAATCCAGCGATTATCATAACAGACTGCAAATCGCTTTACGACCTGGTCACCAGGCTAGCAATGCCATCATGCGAAGAATACCGAACCACCTTAGAAGTCCTTCTCATCAAGCAACGATGTGCCGAAAACACCCGGTTCCGTTGGATTCCGACGACGCTTCAGGCCGCCGATTGTTTGACCAAGAGCATGGACGCAAGTTTGCTCAGGGCTGTTCTAGCTAGAGGGAGGTTTAAACTCTTTGACGGTTCTAAGACCTTAGAGAAAGATGCTCAGCGCAAGCAGGCCATTCAATGGCTCTCTGATCCACCGGGTCACCGGATCCCTCAGCAGGGTAAGCTTGAGCAATGGGTTGCTGTTGGCCATGCATCCTCCGAGCGAGTCCGTGGGGGACTCTATTCAGTCCGCGATCGAGCGGAACTTGTCCAATAAAGTTGGGCCCGTGTGAATTCTTCAGCGAGAAGTGCTTTCAGTCGAGCTGTAAGATGTGTTGGACATGTCCGCTCTTCCGCGACTCCGGATCAAGATCCGGAGAGGGAGGGCATTGGGCTTTGCCTCAGGGAGGCACATGGATCGTTGAGCGACTGGTGAAAACAAGGTCGGAGCCTTGTAAGGCACAGGGGTGTCTTTCCGTCTGACGGGGTCAGTTTGGCATTCTGTTATCCTTTTGATTACTTGGGAACCTTTGGCAGCAGGGCTACCATTTCTGGATTCCAAGTCGGTATCGGCAGCTACCAGGGTG